ACAGGAAGTAACACAACATATTAAACAACAGGAAACGTAACCCAAGCATATTAAGCAACCAGGCACAGAACCCAACATAAACAATCAGAAGTAGAAACATAACATTATTAACCAACAGTAACCCAACATATAACAACAGGATGTAACCCAACATATAAACAACAGGAAGTAACCCAACATATAAACAACAGGAAGTAACATAACATATTAACAACAGGAAGTAACACAACATATAAACAACAGGAAGTAACATAACATATTAACAACAGGAAGTAACCCAACATATAAACAACAGGAAGTAACCCAACATATAAACAACAGGAAGTAACACAACATATTAACAACAGGAAGTAACACAACATATTAACAACAGGAAGTAACCCAACATATAAACAACAGGAAGTAACACAACATATAAACAACAGGAAGTAACACAACATATTAACAACAGGAAGTAACACAACATATAAACAACAGGAAGTAACACAACATATAAACAACAGGAAGTAACACAACATATTAACAACAGGAAGTAACACAACATATTAACAACAGGAAGAAACACAACATATAAACAACAGGAAGTAACACAACATATTAACAACAGGAAGTAACACAACATATTAACAACAGGAAGTAACACAACACGTCATAAACAATCAGCCATCAGCAGTGGAAGAGGACCTTATGAACACTTCATTAAATTATGAAGAGGACCCAGAACTGAGCTTTGAGGGACACCTGAAGCCTGTCCTACGAAGCCGGTTCAACCTAACCTGGATATGTTTGAGTTAGCCGGTTGGCCTAATCCAAAAAATTCGCGCTCTCGCTAAACGGTCCTACGACGCGGGTTATCAAGTGGATCGCTCAAGCCAACCGTGTCCTATCTAGTTAGGTGCGCGTTCACATGAAAGGGGTGGTATCTGGAGCATTCGACCAATCACAGACATGGAGAAGCGTACTGACAGCGCAGCGTCATACTTCCTGAATGAAAAGTGAACTTTAATATTAGACATATGAAGAAGTTCAACTTGAAACATCCATGACTTAAACACTTGATCCAGGATCAAAGCCACAGAGCTGCACCTGCAAGGTGAACACAGCTGGGAACAGAACAAGTGTTTGAATGCGTACATTAACAGCTTTATGATATCACTGCCCGTCTAAGACACCATCTGACTTTCATTACATTTGACTCCAGTGTTTCCTCAACTTAATGTGTTGCTTAAAATAATCCTTCTGCATCCAGTCTGTGACGCTGCGAGTGTTGCACGGCCAGATACGGCTCAGCTGACTCAGATCAGGAGATATGTGATACATTATGAAGTGATATGCTGCGGACTGTACTTAATGTGACTCTGATCCGGTTACTTATGTTGTGGCAGATATTTCAGTAAGCTTTCTTAACGCTAATGTTATAATTAGGGCCGGGACTTTAACGCGTTAATTAAGATTAATTAATTACACAAAAATTAACGCGTTAAAAAAATTAACGCATTTTAATCGCACTTATTTTTGCACCACGGAACGTTTCTCACTGGATGAGTTTCAGGCGTACCGATTATACTGGAGCACCAACTAACGTTCATGACTTCAGACAACAACAAACCACAGTGAACAACAGTGGGAAATGTTGTTTTAAAAAACGGACGGATGGAAGCGTCGATAAGAGCACGGTTGTGTGCAAATTATGCAAAAAGGAATTTGCATATCACCGCAGCACATCAAGCCTCAAGTATCACCTCAATGCAAAACATATAGCAGCTAGCGTGGAAGCTAGCGTGGACGTTAGCCTCTTTTATCGCGTTCACACCAAAAAGAGCCGGTACTAAAATGAGTTCATGAGAACCTTTTTACCCCCACGAAAGTCCCTGCTAGAGAGCAGAGAGCTGCTAGAGAGCAGGGACTTTCGTGCGGCTCTCTTGTGAGAAAAGAGCTATATTTCTGATTGGCTGGGCGGATTGCAAACCACGCCCCGTAAAACTCCCAAAAAGTGTTGTGAAGCCGCCATTTTATTATCCTCGCATTAGCATTATTAGCATTAGCATTATTAGCATTAGCCCAGCGCAGAAAACGCAGAGAGACTAACTTATGGCAACACAAAATAAAACATGGGAGCGGTGGAGATGAGGAGGTGTCGGCGTTCTGGCGATTTACTCGGAAGGCTTCAGTAGAAGCTGCTGGGACTTCCAGCAGCTTCTACTGAAGCCAGTCCCCAACTCCGGGGACTTCCGGCCGAGGACTTTGGGCGGCAGTATACACCGTGAAGTGGTTTGCAGCCTGCCAGTAAACCCAAAGCAGAAGAAGAAGAAGTGACGTCAGCGGCTTCATTTGCCTAATCCACCCCCAGGTTCAAAGAGTTCTCATGAACTAAGTTCTCATGAACCTTTGTTGGAAAAGTACTGCGGTGTGAATGCGCCTAATGGTATACTAAAATCCATGTGAAAAAAAATTGCTTCTCACTGTTCTTAGGTCAAATATGTATATGCGATTAAAAATGCGATTAATCTCGATTAATTAATTACAAAGCCTCTAATTAATTAGATTAATTTTTTTAATCGAGTCCCGGCCCTAGTTATAATAGTCAGATTGCTCTGAAGATGGAGCTGATATTCTATTCATGTTCACGTTCACACAGTCGCTGATTTTTGCCGGCCGTCTTTCCTGCAACGGCAGCTTTTCTGTATTTCCTTTCTCCTGTAATATGACTTGATCGCTTTAAACTCCGCACACTGAGCTCTGATTGGTCAGCAGGCGGTGCTTTCACTGAGTTGATCTCTTAGCCTGCAACCTAACCTGCTCCGGGACAGGCTAGCCGCTCAGCATCAGTTACCATGGAGATCTAGCCGCTAAGAAGAGAACCAGCTTCGTAGGACCGGAAACCCAGAGTTTACCTGAAGTTAGCCGCTAAGAGAACATCCTGCTTCGTAGTATACCCCACTGGTGAGACACCTGTGGGTGTTGAGCTAGCAACCCTCTCTTTCAGGGTGTTGTTTCTATGTATGTGTCTCTCTCTGTCTCACCTTGAGGACCCTCTTGATGGAGTTGATGGACTGGGTCAGCAGAGACTCCACCTTCTGATCATCATTAATATAATCAGCGTGACGGAGACACATGAACAGGATGTAGGCTGGGAGACAGGGGACAGACGAGGACACACTGCCGGGACTGATCTCTGTAATACAGGACATATGTTAGGGGGAGACACTGAGAAACGGAGATGGATAGAGAACAGACAGAGGACAGGTGGCGGACAAATGAAGGACAATGGAGACAGGTACCTGCGATGAGCTTCTTCTGCAGCAACGTCTCGTCGTCCTGATGGAGCTCCAGCATCCCCTCAAAGTCCTTCTCCTTCCTCTGGACCGTCACCTGACGGCTGAGGGGGGGACGTGTCCTCTCAGCCTGAGAAACTGAAGGATAGAGAGACGGACAGGTGAGACAGAGAAACAGTGGAGACATAGAGACAGGTGATACAAACAGGTGAGATCAATCAATCAATCAATCAATCAATCAATCAATCAATCAATGTTTATTTATATAGCCCAATATCACAAATGTTACATTTGTCTCAGTGGACTTTACAGTTTGTACAAAATATCAGTATGACAATACGACACCCTCTGTCCTTAGACCCTCTGTCCTTAGACCCTCTGTCCTTAGACCCTCACATCGTACAAGGAAAAACTTCCGAAGAAAACCCACAGTTTAAAGGGAAAAATGGGAGAAACCTCAGGGAGAGCAACAGAGGAGGGATCCCTCTACCAGGACGGACAGACGTGCAATAGATGCCGTGTGTAAATTGAAAAGATAATACATTTGCAACATAGGTAGTCCAAATGTTTGGAAATGCATGTGTGTATAATAGGAAGATGAATCCACGAGGATATCCATCCAGGACCTATGATCCAGGACCACAGCCACGACTCAAGATCCAGGGCTCGCGATCCAGGACAGAGGAGCGCAGGATCATCCATGACTCCGGATCCCGGCGTATATAGACACCAAAAATAAAGACATTTGGGGAAGCTGGGTTAATCGGAACATGAGAGTACACAGGTATAGACAGAGAGAAGGAAGAAGTAAGATGTCCCCCGACAAACTAAGCCTATATCAGCAAAACTAGGGGCTGAATCTAATCAGCCCTAACTATAAGCTTTATCAAAAAGGAAGGTCTTAAGCGCACTCTTAAAAACGGATAGGGTGTCTGCCGCCCGAACACAAACTGGAAGCTGATTCCACAAATGTGGAGCTTGATAAGAAAAGGCTCTGGCTCCCATTGTACTTTTAGAGACTCTAGGAACAACCAACAACCCTGCATTCTTGGAACGCAATGCCCTAGTAGGACAGTAGGGTATAATGAATTCTTTAAGGTAAGATGGCGCCTGCCCATTAAGGGCTTTGTAGGCGAGAAGAAGAATTTTAAATTCTATCCTGTGTTCTATAGGGAGCCAGTGTAAGGCAGCCAGAACAGGAGTAATGTGGTCCCTTTTCCTAACTCTGGTTAGTACACGAGCTGCAACATTTTGAATCAGCTGAAGCGACTTGACTGACTTCTTGGTACACCCTGATAATAAAGAGTTACAATAATCCAGCCTTGAAGTAACAAATGCATGGACTAGTTTCTCTGCATCGTTTTGAGGCAAGATATGCCTGATTTTTGCAATGTTACGTAGATGGAAGTAGGCGGTCCTTGAAATTGATTTTATGTGGGCGTTAAAGGATAAATCCTGATCAAATATAACACCAAGATTCCTTACAGTCTCACTGGAGGCCAAATTAATGCCATCCATAGTTAGTATATCCTTAGATAATTTGTTTCGTAGATTCTTCGGGCCAAGTACAATAACTTCAGTTTTGGTCGTGTTTAACATCAAAAAGTTTAAGGTCATCCACGTTTTTAAGTCCTTAAGGCAGTCTTGAATTTTATTTAGATGATTAATTTCATCAGGCCTGATTGATAAATATAGTTGAGTATCATCCGCATAACAATGAAAATGTACAGAATGATTCCTTATAATATTGCCTAACGGAAGCATATATAATGTGAACAAAATATATAGGGACATAGGTGAGACAGAGAGGTGAGACAGAGAGGTGAGACAGAGAGAGAGGTAAGACAGACAGGTGAGACAGAGACACAGATGAGACAGAGAGACAGATGAGACAGCTCTACATCCCAGGTAAGGACTCTCCGGGTAAGGATTCTCCAGGTAAGGACTTTCCCAGGTAAGGACTCTCCAGGTAAGGACTTTCCCAGGTAAGGACTCTCCGGGTAAGAACTCTCCGGGTAAGGTCTCTCCAGGTAAGGACTCTCCAGGTAAGGACTCTCCCAGGTAAGGACTCTCCAGGTAAGAACTCTCCGGGTAAGGACTCTCCAGGCAAGGACTCTTCAGGTAAGAACTCTCCGGGTAAGGACTCTTCAGGTAAGGACTCTCCAGGTAAGAACTCTCCGGATAAGGACTCTCCAGGTAAGGACTCTTCAGGTAAGGACTCTCCAGGTAAGGACTCTCCCAGGTAAGGACTCTCCCAGGTAAGGACCCTCCAGGTAAGGACTCTCCAGGTAAGGACTCTTCAGGTAAGGACTCTCCAGGTAAGGACTCTCCCAGGTAAGGACTCTCCCAGGTAGGACCCTCCAGGTAAGGACTCTCCAGGTAAGGACTCTCCAGGTAAGGACTCTCCCAGGTAAGGACTCTCCAGGTAAGAACTCTCCGGATAAGGACTCTCCAGGTAAGGACTCTTCAGGTAAGGACTCTCCAGGTAAGGACTCTCCCAGGTAAGGACTCTCCCAGGTAAGGACCCTCCAGGTAAGGACTCTCCAGGTAAGGACTCTCCAGGTAAGGACTCTCCCAGGTAAGGACTCTCCCAGGTAAGGACTCTCTAGGTAAGGACTCTCCGGGTAAGGACCCTCTGGGTAAGGACTATATGAGGTAAGGACTTTCCCAGGTAAGGACTCACCAGGTAAGGACTCTCTAGGTAAGTACTCTCTAGGTAAGGACCCTCTGGGTAAGGAACCTCCGGGTAAAAACTCTCCAGGTGAGGACTCTCCAGGTAAGGACTCTCCAGGTGAGGGAATGCTCCGGTTTTGGGACAAAATTAACATGGGATCACTCCGGTCATTGTACGTACTTCGTCTCACTGGAATATTAACGGTCAGATTGAAGACAACATCGACCGCATTTCTCCGGGCCAATGACGGGAGAGTTTTGAAAGTGACAAAACACTGTTCCACACATTTAAAAACACTTAAACAATTAAACAATGTTTACCCAGGATTCAGGCACCTTCCCTGGCTTGTAAAATGCGGTGATGCGCCCTGGAGGTATCAGACTATTTAAAACATGTATACCCAGGATTCAATCACTTTTCCTGGCTTGTAAAGTGCTGTGAAGCTGCCTGTTCATATTCACATTTAAGACAGTTTCCCCGCATTGTAATCACTATTTCTGCCTTGGAAAGTGAGGTTTTAGCAGACCTCTAGGTGGTGGTGGTGCTCTGGAGCAGCCTGTTTGTTCTCTGGGTAAACTCTCTGTCCACATTTAAGACAATTTTCCCGCATTGTAATCACTATTTCTGCCTCGGAAAGTGAGGTTCTCTCCACACTTTTTCCCCTAAAATGATTTTAAATCATTATTTTTGCATTTAAATACATTTGTTTTATCATTAATATGGTTCCCTAAAACAATGCACATAGTCTGGAGCTCACTGGGGTCCTGCATATGCTTTAATCAGGCGTTTTAACACTTTTTTCCATGAAAATTATTTTTAATCATGGGGCTATATAAATCAAATTCCGGGTAATTTGGAGCACAATTGTACCTTTTACTATTTAAATGTATTTGTATTATATATCTTTGGGCTAGAAAAGTGACATTTCTGGGTGACTTTGTCAGTTTATGGAGTTTATCCCACAAATCCTGGAGGTTCCAGGCTGAATTTGGGTGCTCATAGGTGGCCTGCCATGCCCTCCCACCCGTGGAAAGAAGAAAAAGTGAAGAAAACGGTTAATTATATCTTAAAATAATCAAAAATGAAGTTTTAAAACATTGTTGAAAAAATGACTGAGTGCCAACAGGGGCTCGAAAAAGCTCAACCCTTCGGGGCTTCGGGTCGAAGCCCCGGACACTTTTCCACTTCTCTGTCACAACTTACAACGGAGAGGGGAAACAAAGTTTCCCCTTCTCTGTCAAAAATATTCATTCATCCATTCCAGACTACCGTCCGCACGAAATCAGAAACCCCGTTTTTGAGAGGACTCAGAAAAAAAACGACTGTGTGATTTCCTGGATGAATTCATCCGCTACATGTGCACTCTGGCTCGGATACATTTGTTGCCTGGAGACCCCCAATCATGGTTCTTACCAAACTTTAAGTTTTTGAACTGGTCTCTGGAGGAATGTAAGGGGAGTTTGATGGGACTCTACCTGCATTATGATGCACTATTTTCGGATACATTTTACCACTTTTGGCCCGTTTTCATGGTTCTCCAAAAAGTTAACTCAGACTTTTTCTGACTCTGGAGGAATGTGAGGGGAATTGTCAGGGGACTCTACCGGATACTTTTTTACATTTTCACCCCTTTTGTCTGGTTATTTTTATTTCTGTTTTGGCCCGTTTCACCCGGTTCCTTCTACCGGGGGCACTGCCCGGTCCTGGGTGCCCCCCCGACGGCCTTTGTCCAGCCGTTCCCCCCCCCAACTCGACCGTACATTAACGGATTTTGTCCATTTTTGCTGCGTTCCTCTCACCTCACTGATCGAATGGCAAACAACCCGCCATCGGAGGGCCTCCGCCGGCCCGGCCTTGTGCCGGTGCTCTGGCGGTCGATTCCTCCGAACTGCGGGTTCTTCTCCTCGGACCTCACTGATCGAATGGCAAACGCGACCCGCCATCGGAGGGTCTTCTCCCCCGGTCCACGTGCCGGTGCTCTGGCTGTCGGTTCCTCCGAACTGCGGGTTCGACTCTGATGGCCGGGAGGGTGTGCTGCGTGGGGGTAACCCTGCATGTCTCTTACCTCCCAGGCCGACCAATATGAAGCGTTTCCAAGACGAACCGTCTGACTCAGGGGTCCCACCATGGGTTCCGCAGCGGGGTGGAAGTTCCACCTTCCCACTTCGCTGCGGAGTGCCAGGCAAACATCAGTTTCTCTAATCCTCCACTGTTGCATAGCGGCCTTAGTCGGCTGCAGCATTCAGGAATTGGCCTTGCTCCGGGCACCAGTTCCCTCGGGGACCACGGCTCGGTGGCTTCACATGATATAGGGTCGACCCTACTTCATCACAGGCTACCTGTTTGATCCTGCGTAACAACCACATATGCTTGTCTGCAAAGAGGGAACTGCCTGTTCCTGCCCTGGTGTTCCTCTACGGCAGTGCTTCTCAAAGTGTGGTCCGCGGACCACTGGTGGTCCGTG